GGCTGGAGAAATGGACCAACGCCTGCAACAACTCGTGGCCTCCCTGTACAACTGTGAAGGCGTAGATATATACAAAGCGACCACCGACCTCCACGACCTCTGGAACGCTTATCAAGACAACCAAAGCACCGTTGAAATACACCGCTCTGTGCTTGAGACTCTTACCATAATGGGAAATAACAAGGCGTAAAATGCCAATCGATGACATACTATTAATAGTACAGCTTTCATTTGAATTAACTTTTATTTGAATTAAAAAACATACTATTAATAGTATTGTTCTTTCGAGTGAAATTTCATGTGGTTTCTCGTTGGAATTTAAATCGATTTGATTGGCTACCTCAGATGAGCTCAAAATTATTAGCCAATCAAAACCTTCTTAATGAAATTCAACCAATCAGATCGATTGTGGATCAGTTTGGTCGATTCGATTGCACCCCCTCCCCAAATTTGTATCAAATCGACAATAACGTTAGGCATATTAATATCTCCGTCCTGCTGCTTTCGAAGTCTAAAAGTCCTAAAGGTAGAAAAGTTAGTCCCACGTGAACGAACACCTCATAATTAGACAAGGCTTGGAGTCCTTGGAAACCATTTTAGACTCGGAACCACCTGTATAAGTTTTGCAATTGAAGTCATATATTTAACGCTTGGAGTCCTTGGAAACCATTTTAGACTCGGAACCACCTGTATAAGTTTTGCAATTGAAGTCATATATTAGAAGAGAAATTCAGTATGATTAGTGCATATTCAAAATACGATCTATGATTGGTGTATTTTCATACGACCTGAATTGGCACATACAGTAGAGTAGTACGTCATAAATTGGCATTTTACATTATGTAGCTCGTATAATACTATTAATAGTAGGCGTTAATCGGAATAAAATAGAACAAGGATTATACAATGTTGTACTACTAGTACTAAATAGCATATTATATTGATACTAGTATATTGTGCTTTTCACTCGTTTTGGCTATTCACACCATAATAAACTTGGGTGTTTGTTACATCGACCCCAGTGTTTTAGATAATCCGTACAGTGATTTAGGATCACGTTTCGTTACAGAATTTATTTTTAGGGAGGTCATTTATGCAACTCGCTCGCTTTTGCACATTTGAAAAGTGCAAATCGAAGTTATATCTGCTATTCTCATGACCAAGTTGCACAATTCACTGGTCATCATCACTACGCGATGGAATAACAGCCAAGGTGTTTTGGTCACTTCAGCATCACATGTGATTATTATTGCTCAGAGTTATTTGGCATTTATAAAACCCCAGTGAATTAGCTAAAACACCAGGTATTTATTTATTCAACTTTGTAACACATTTACAACAGAAGTACCACTCTTTTAGCCACGTAAACCCGACGCCAAAACAAGTGCAAAGCAAATAATACTACTTGTAGTAGGCGTTAAGTACCCCCCGCTACGACTTAGATGGTGTTTGAATTGGCTTGTCGGTAAAGATCTGGACACGTTAACACCCTACATCGTTCCCATGGTTTTGGCAATGGAAACTCCAAGTACTAATTGTAATAATAATAAATCATGCGCATGTCGACATGTTTTCTGAGTACAAAAACAAGCACAATAAAAATATTGCATCCGTTAAAGTAGTGAAATATCCGGATCTGTTGTGTTTGCAATGTGAAACGGCGCGAATTTTCTGAACGCAAGGCATCGCACGTGCAGTGAGCGACATAAAACGTGTCAGTACAGCAGCCAATGTCCCTCTCCAACAAGTTGGATGGCTGTGAAGAAACTCCAGTTTCGCTTTCGCCAACCATGAATGCCTCGATTTTGGCCTTCCATAACTTCGTGTTATGATGAGTTTTCGCCAGTTCCCGTATCTCCCGGCAAATCCAAGACAGATTTCGCGCACACAACATTCCCCCAGCTTGCGCATAAGCCTCTATAATTATGGCATCATTTATCTCCACCCTTGTCCTTTAAGCCTGGGCTGTCCCTTGTCAACCAGCAATTGAAGACGAAGAATTCCGGAAATTATCCGGTAAGCGTCGTTTTAAAGTATCACGGCCGGAATAGAAGCACTGATTGATAGCCCTAAAAAGTTGCACTGTCACATGGACTGTCGTAGGAATATGAGATTGTTGATATACAAAGTAGGCCCTGACGTCGCCATTGTGCCATTTGCCAGCTACCAGACACCAACATCATGCAGCTATCTGCCTTCGCCATCGCTGTTCTTGCCGCCCTTTCGACGCATGATGTCTCGGCTGTGGGGTGCACCCCCGACCAAAAGCAGCAAATGCTCGATGCGATCACGACCCACCCGAGCTGGCCGGCGTGTCAGCAGGCCACAGAGCCATTCGATTTTTTCCTGGCATTGACCCAGCAAGGCCCGAAACCAACCGCGAACGACTTGGCGAAATTCCAAGCCGCCGCGCCATGCAACACCGTGTATGCGTCGTTCCAAGACGCCATCAAGCGAGCCAATTGCGACGAAATCGCCGAACTCGTTGGTGTGCCCGCTGACCAGCTAGTGCCGGCTGCTGCCCCATCCACCGCCACACCACGCGACCAGGCAGCGGCCCTATCCCCCGCTGTACCGGCGAAGTCGCCACGGCCTATGGAATCTGAGACGTTGGCACCCCCACGAGCGTCCGTCGCCTCTTCAATGCCCCCAAAATCGACGGTGCCCGCGGTTCCAGCAGCGACGACTAAAGTCATGGATAAAATGACTGGGAAGAAAATGCAGCCTCCGTCATCGTTGGCCGCAACTTCGGCGTCACTGGCCTTGTCAGCCATCATGGCGGCCATCGTGGTGACCATGTTTTAACTGCAACCGGGCAGTCACAACTTGACCACTTGTACACTTTGAACCCTTTAAAAGAGTATTGCATAAATAGATAACCAATGATTTTAATTGCGCTGAGTTGTCGTTCACGCATTACAAGGTTACCCCTGACTGGGGCTCATTGCCATTCGCGCTTCGAGGTTTGAGTGAATAAATACATATCCAAGTTGACAGGACAGTTGGTGAATCGTGACGAAGTTAACGGCCAGCTTAGCCACGAGCCCCCTAAAGCCCCTTGACTTCCCTTTTGAACACCCCCTTTGTAATGCAAGGTGGACGCTTGCTAGTAACTTGCAAACTGTAATGCACAACCAAAACGGTGGTTGATAATCGGTAGACCGTGTCGCATCCATACAAGTATGTGGAAGTTGGACGCAAATGTTCTCGCTTACTACCAGTTATCACGTGGGAGCCGCCCCGGTCATGTGGATATTTCCTAAGTAAGTACCACCTCTTACTTCTAGCCGGAAGAACTGTTGGCCCCCGGCATGTTCACCCAGTCGGCAGGTATCATAAACAACACCAAGTGCGTCAAGATGGAGGGCACGTCCATAGTGTCCCCTAATGTGGCCGACGTGGTGGGTATCGTCAAGCGCGTCAGTCCCAAGGCCAAATCCGACCAAGTATGTACAACATACCTTATTAATACCACGTGGGCAGTACCGACCAGCCCTCGCTCGACACAACCGAGCCAATGGTGTGGATGCGTAGGCTTTACGGTTAGGTCCACACGTCGGGTTGGATCGTATCGAGATAAGCCTCGTCGGTAGTGTGCCCACGAGGTATTGATACTTGTACACTTTGTCGTAGGCAGCCTTAGGGTTGCTTTCCATCATGACAGCCACATAAGGGGCAACGACGGGGACACTATGGACGTGCCATCCATCTTGACGCACTTGGTGTTGTTGTTGATACCCGCCGACTGGGTGAACATGCTGGGGGCCAACAGTTCTTCCATCTAGAAATAAGCGGCGAACATGGCACGTCTGTGGGTCCTTGGACGTTAAGCTATTGGTGCGGTTGGGTTCAGCCCCGTGCGACATACCGGTAGCTTGAACTCTCCCTCACTCGATCATCTTGTCACCCGAGCCAGGCACACTGCGCGATTCACTAGGTACCGGCGGCTACACCGAGGACATTGGGCGCCCAACATGGGAGCGATCGCGATGGACGCCATCGTCGTCGGTGTAACCGCCCACGACGACGCCGTAATCGTTGGTGGCCTTGGTATTGAGCGCGTTGTTTTCCTCTATCTCAACTGAGGAGTTGTTGGTCTTTAAGTCGATGAACGAGGTCACACCAGACTCTGTGGCCTCCCGGAATGAACTCCGAGGCCTGCGGTTCTGACGGCGCCGGCCGCCCCAGTCAGGAGAGCTACATAGTATTTTGAGCGTTCACCACCACTATACATGTGAATTACTATACCGTACAGTGTACAAGGCGTCTGTCATCTATGTTTACTGTTAATACGGTTTCAAGCTAACACATGCTCGAAGTATGGTCTTCGAATACATCGCAAAATAATTGTATTTTTAGCGTATTTTCTGAAGTATGCACTTTTACGCTTATCAGAAAGGTGCGTTTAATTCATCACTATTTAGGCATTCAGAATATGTATCAATAGTTGAAATGGTACTCAGATTTAGCGAACTAGGAAATAGAAACTACATATTTTGCCCCGTGGCAAAAGTCTTCATACCAACAGGAAAAACTCAATTATTTCCCATTTAATCACTTTCCAGTTCTAAATTCCCCAAATTATTGCTTCAGTGATAAGAGTAAATAACTGTAAATAACGATACCAGACGTCCCTTTGGTGATTTATTGGAGTCTTCAGATATTATCATCAGCACTTCACTGGTGGTCGTGAAATCGTCGAGACGTCATTTTACTTGAACTAACTGTAAATATCCTTACTCTGACTCCTGTCCGATTCTCCAGAGTACAATGTTGACCTCTGAAATGGAGAAGCTTGGGAATGAAGCAGATACGCCTGCAATTTGATTGGTCGAAAGGATTCTTTTTTCGAAAATTTCATTGGCTACTTCGGTCCGTCGATTACTGCGTCGATTCCATTGGCAGCGCCAGTCAATTTTGAAATCGAATTACAGTACCACTATGCTTACAGTTCGACAGTTAACGTTACCGCCAAGGCTACATACAGTACGTGGTTTAGGATAACTCATCAGGCGTGGGATGTTAGAGCCGTTCTAACCACACATTGTGTGCCAGTGAGTACGGAGCAGCACTATAACATAATCGGACTTGGCACAGGCACCTATGTATTCACTTGAAAGCACTTGAAATCTGGGGCAAGCTTTGATTGACGAAGTTCGTGTGTGATCCCACCAAGATCATGTAAGTTCAACCCTTGATTGGATGTCAGATGTGACTGGTCATATGGTAGTGTTTGACATATGGTATACTGTTCGACTATTGCACTATTAATAGTATACTATGTAGTACCTACGTATTAGAACTAGAACAGTAGCAATATTAATAGTAGTACTCGAGTAATGATTACTGTTGGTAATGCGACATCGCTACTGAACTCGAAGTTGCAGTGTGGTACGTCCTCTTCTTGTACTACAACATGTATAAATAAATGTACTACTCCGGGTAGTACGTAGTACTACTATTAATAATAGTACTACGTCGTAGTAAAGTTCTATTGTACAGTGATTCCTGTTACTCACCGTATGAGTTTTATTTACTGTTAGTTAGTACAGCATCAACTAGTACTTCAAGGCCGGAAGACTACTGTATGGTCCTATTACTACGTACTTTTAATACGTACCGGTAGTACCGGTAGGAATATATCTATGCCAAGCCCCTGTGCATACATCTCAGCTCAATGCCATCATCTGACAGACCAACGGAAACGTTACCCCCACCTACTTGATAACCTGTGAATTCCATTTCCAAGCCCCCCTCAGTGCATTCTTGGCAGGCATACTTACCACCGTAACCTTTCTATGAATAACGTTATGATTTGGGCTGCGCTGCATTCCTCGTTGTTGCATACTAGTATTACTTCGAAGCACACATTATGAAAAACAATAGCGAAACGTTAGATCCGAAATCACTTGAAGGTGTTACAAGGTGGTTGGTTGCAGAGTCATGTTAGGACAGTCGTCCCCCGTTCACCCAGCCGAAAAGTCCGGGCGGCAGATTACGCAGTTCTGGCTGCCATTTCTCTCAATCCCACCCCCTCCTCCAATCTTCGAAAGCAAACAAACAGAGTGTGTATCTCCAGTTGATTTGATAATAATTTAATATATTACTAGTAATCCTCACTCTACATACACCAATAATAATATGTACTAGTACTACACCATAACCAGTCCGTCGACGCTGCACGGACTCCGCACGGGCGCCCTTGGCTTCAACTTCCACGGGTCATGGGCAGTGTTTGGGGGGAAATACTGCAGCAGTAATGCGAGAAATTCGGTGTGGGTCAGGTCATCTTTGTACGCGGCGTCGTAGCTCCCTCGGCAATAGTACTCGTCCTTGATGATAGGTTCAAATCGCGTGTGGAGAAGTCGTTGCTGGTGGATGTGCAGTTCAGTTTGTTCTTCTTTGATCGCCAACGTATCCTTCTTGACATGGGTGGTACTGCTGTTGTACACTTGATGGCGGTGCTGCTGCTGGTGTACATGATCTGACTTGTGTTTGTGACAAAGCCCACCGCCGCGGGCGTAGTGCCCACATCCGTCCATTTGGCAGCGCCGACCGCCGCCATGCGTCACGCATAGGCCACGGGTATGTGATTGCTTGATGCAGCCCTGGAACTTGCACGCAGGTTTCGACAGCGATCCGCCATGTTGGCCGCAAAAGTTGCCCCCGTAAGCGTTAGCCTGGCACCCCGTGGCCGTGCACTTCTTTTTGCCGCCATGGCGAACGCACAGGTGCCGCGCGTACACGATGTTAAAGCAGTCTGGCATCCTGCACTGTTTGCGAAACTTGTGCACTTCGCACTTGTCCATGTTGGGCAACGCGTCGAGTCGGCAGTCCTTGAATGCACAACTTGGACGAAGAAGAAGAGCAGGAGGAGTAGCCATCCCGAATGAAATTCTAAAGTGATTAGCGCAGCAGACGATGCTGGAGTGTACTCACGCCCACATGTGCGAAATGTGCCGACACACTGGAACGGTCTGTTCTTGGGGACCAGTCCAGCCCCCCAGCCGGTTGAAATCATCATGCAGCACCGTACAATTCCCTCATTACATCAGTTCCACTGTTGTTTTGACCCGAAATACTGTTTCAATGAGGTTTATATGGAACTTTGTATACTCAGACCACCTCACCTCTTACTAGGGGTTAAGTGTATCTCAGTAGTTAGCGATAGCTAACCACTAGCGATGCAGTTAACCCCGGAGCTTTAGCATTAATGTACTCACCGGGGGTACAACGGAGTCCCAGGTTACAGGGCTACTGGAGAAAAGGTGTATCCGGATGTAAAAATTCCCAGTATCTCGGGTCAAAACAACAGTGGAACAGGTTTATTGAGGGAATTATTCTGTAGCACCCACAGTGCCGCCATTTTACCCATCGTCAAATTACTCCGTCAAAATAAAGATTGTCGACTTCTGTTTTGTAAGCCCCCCTTGCATTCTACACTGTCCTACTAGGTAGTACTGGTATATAGGAATTGACTACTGTAGTAGTAGCATAGTAGTATGCCCTAACGGACAAAGTTGTGTAGCTAGGGGGTTGCGTAGGACGCCATGACAAGAGTGAAAGGGGGGTTGTCAAAATATACTAAATTATGAGCTTGAACGATACTTCGAAGTACTACTCTGTGCTATTTCGAACAATAGACTTGTCTTGGGATGTTTGGTTGAATCCAAATCACTGCTTTTATCACAAATCAAAATGATCACACGTGTCAGCAGAAAGCAGCATGATCCATGTTAACATGAACCCAAACTCGTAAACCTCAGGTACAAACCACTGAGTTTGGAGGAAGACGTGAGGACTCTACAGTCCAATGCTGTGCATACACACCGTGGCACTGTTGCGATGATTTCCAAGAGAAAGGCGGCAACCGAGCACTGGTGTCGACAGTGTGGACGAGCCGTTCGTTAAAAATGACAAAACCGAGTTGACTGTAACTCGAAGCTGCTAGTAGTACTGTAGCCCACGATTTATGGGATCTCGATTTCGAGAAAACAGCTTGAGCTCACGTGGCATCGTGATATCGCGCAGGGACCTGAGTCTTGGTCGAGCCTTCAGCTGTACCATGTCAAGATGACCATTACAGTATGATATCCATGATCAAGTGACTTGGAACCTGCTGTAAACTGGGAAAGACGGGTCCTTTGGCTGCTGCAACTTGCACCGCTCCTCAGATGTATGTACCCGTACCGAGCCATGTTCCATGGCCGAGATTTCTTCAGGTCTGCGGTGGTAATAAAACCCCGAAACCCGTTACGCAGTCAATTATTTTCTGTCAAATCACGTTTATCTACTACTTGAAGTACTTACTATTAATCGTACACCAGAGTTCCTTTTTGAGAGAGACGTGGAGGGATTTGGCAGCACCACGCACAATGACATGCATCAGTTCTCGAGCCAAGTTGGGTGGCATTACCAATGCCTAGCAACGTTTGATAATTCACTTTTGGAATGAAAAGCCGATGGATAAATCAGGTTAATTTAGGCACAGTTTGCCTGGTTTGAAGCCAAGTGGTTGGCTTTTGCTTGGACAGCCACGGCATGAAGGGTGCGCCAAGCTTAGATTGGTCACTTTCGATTATGAGGCAGGACACACCAACCGTATTACCGGTATGATGAGCCAGGCCAGAGAGATGTGGCGACAAGGAATTTGGACTTTGCACTTCACACGCAAGGCGAGTTCAATCTACGGACCCTTACGCCAGTCGTAACCCCTGGAGGTAGGTCGCCTGTCAATTGAAAAAGAATCAATTTTCATTTTCGATTCTACTTTTTACTTTTTGCTTTTCGTCACGAAAACCAAAAGCAACTTGAAGGTGGTGGAGTAACGATGAAAATACCCAATTACTACGTAGTATCGCAGTCTATTCCATGGCATACAAATACTAATACAAACACGAAAATGCAGCGCAAGTCACCAATTGCCAACCGAGAGCCCAAGCCGCCGCAAGTGACGAAATCAGGTGTCGTAGGGAGCATGAAGCGCGAGCTTACGAGCATGAAGAGTTATAGTGCAAGCATACCTAACTACTTCGTCGTCGAATAAGACGACCGTGCAGTGTGGGTTGTAATCGAGGTGTTCAAATTGGGCACTGCCATTCGAAAGCCTTCGACAGTCGACGACAACGAGAATCCAACCCTCCCTACCTGACTTCACCCCTCTTTTGAATGCGGATACGAATGACTTCCTGTTAGGGCCAAATTGACTCCACATTGCTTTTCGTGGAAGCTAATAAAAATACAAAAGAATATAAATTTGCTTTTCACAATTGAACGAAATGCCGAAATATGGTGCAAGTCTACACAGATCGGCGAATCTCACGAGGAGGCGTTTTACTATTAAACGCCTACTCAATTTTGACGTTAAATCATTATTAGCTACGTGGTTTACCTGGTAATCAGGTTAAACGTTTTAAATAATCCGGATACAATGGAAACGCTCGTACGGATAAGTTATGTATACAAAGACCAAGATATACTTGATGCTCCTTTTCGGCCAAATGTGCCTGTTCCGTATAAAGGCCGGTTGGTTTAAATTGTATTAACGTTACTCGATCAATTTTTCACCAATCGAAAACCTGAACCATAACTCCTGTTGGGCTTGTTACTACGGCTTATTTTCCTAAAAACAATCAATACAAAGTTGGAATAGCTGTCGAAAGACAAGGTATTTTTTTGTAGTCTTTAGATGACTTGCACCATATCAACGATGTGCCAGCAATTGAGAGTCGATATACTACTCCCTCTGTCCTAAGCTTATTTTAATTGCCCGAGTCGCTGATCACTATAAATTGAAATAAAAAGCAAATTTTAATGCAATCGATAAATATCACAGTTCTGATTGGTCCACAAGAAAGACAGCGGGTAGGGTCTTAACTCTGATGTGCTTTGAGTGGGGAATATTGAAACTGTTAACATGTTCTCTTTTTTGACAGTACAAAATACCCTTTTAATTTATTATGATAAAATCCACATTCCCAAATGACAAACATTCAGCATACCTCACGGTCTACAGTATGACCTGGACAATGACGATGCAAGGCAATTCATTACTGCATAAGCCTCATTGTTTGATTAATGCTAATAACGTTAGCTGGAAACCAAATAAGTTCTCATACTCGAAGCGACATTGTCCGGGTCCAGCACCAAGTACTCCGGAGAAATTACAGCCGGCACCATGGCGATTTTAGGTAGTGCAGAATATGGTAAGTTGAGTATCATGTTTAAAGGTAACGTTATTCACTTATTTTTTCCAAGCAGGTATAGGCCATTATTTCTGACCGGGCAATTACAGTGGCACGGAGAGAGTAGATATAGTTGATACTGTTAGCACTATGAAAGCTGGTGCCACCATCTATTAACAATGCAATCCATTTCCCTTGTGGTATTGTGCATTTCACCCAAAATTTGGACTTGTGAGTCATTTCGCAAATCCATTTGATCGAATTTGAGCTTGTAAACACTATACGTTTCTCCTAAGACATTCGATACTGCTGAGAACTCCAGTTTCGAGTGATTTGACAATATACGTACCGGTATAGGACTTACTTAAACTGCGATCAGGCACTTTATGAGTTAAATTTAATAAGTGGTGAAATGGGGGGGGTTAAGGGCAACTTCACATACCGAGGGGGCTTGGGGCTAATGTTTTTTTTTTGGCTCTTCTATGATAAGGGGGGATCCAATGACTTTAGATTTCAAAAATAGAAAGAAACGTTAACGTAAAAAACCAGTTTAAGATAACTTAACCTATTTAGGATAACTTTGTGTTGCCCAATCACACCTCGTTATATGTTCGAGTCAAAACCTCTGTCATATAACGCTGACCATTTCGTCACGTGAATGAAATGCAAAAACAGCATAGAAACCATTGTTAACAGTCATTCAAGATTGGGTTTGAAGTACCCTAGTCGACACGGGCCACATTGGGTTGGATCTGAGGTTTTGTCGAGTGTAAACTCGGTGGACATCCATCCACAACAGAAATATAACTCTATAAAACAGTACCCTTGTATAAATTATATGCAACATGTTGTAACCGCTTACCCTAAACACAGAATTTCAATTCTCCGACGCATACATACTTTAAGATAAAAAAGTTATCCTAAATTGGTTATCAAAATGTGAGTACCAATGCTTAGAAAGTAACAAATTTACCTGTGATATTCTTCGTCTAAACTGATAATTCGATTATGAACTGAAAGCAGAGTGTCTTGTCTATTGGAATCACTATTCAAAACTCAAACATCGTAACGGACTCAAAAGTTATGTCCATTCTACTCCGACGCCTCCAAAAAAGTTATCTTAAATTGGTCCAAGAGTGGATTTGATTGGCTACTTGACTCGTGATATCTGGTTTTTGATTGGTCGATTTTCGCGTCTTTGCTCCTTCGATTGACAGTCGAATTTCGAACCGACTAACTTGTATTATATCCGGAACTTCGAACTACGCTGCAACTTTTTGCTTCTTTGCTTTGCGGTCGGCGTGGCCGGTGGCGCGGACGTGCTTGAAGAGCCCGTTGCGACTCGTGAAGGTCTCCTTGCACACGCCGCACGCGTGGACGGCCACCTTCTTCCCTCGGGGCACGTCGTCTCGCGGTACGTTGTCGTGCTTGAGAGCCAGTTGGTTGTAATGTTGTCGCTTGTTGAACCGGTCCTTGGTGCCGTTGTGGGCGTCTTCTTGGCACAAAAAGCATTTCGCAGCAACGTCCGACGCCAGGCACTCGTTGCACAGCAACAGAGGCACGCCGCACGGCACCGGGCACCGCTTCCGGCCGCGGTACTTGTCCCACGGCTTGGAGCACGCCACGCACTTGCCCACAATCTCATCCGACGTAGGTGCTTCAACGATATCCGCGTCCTTCTTATCGTCGTCTTCGGTCGCGCCGTGGGCAAATCGCTTGTCAAACGTGTAGTTCTTGCCAACCCATAGCCCCCCCCCTTGGCTCGCGTACTCGGTCAGGTAGTTGTGGATGCCTCCCTTGAGCTGAAACACCTTGTCATGCCCCAAGCTCCGAAACAAAGCCGACGCCCGCTCGCATCGGATGCCGCCCGTGCAATACATGAGCACTTGCTTGTCCTTGAGCCTGTCAATATTGTCTTTGGCCCAAGCTGGGAATTCTGTACTCACCCGCATCTATATATATATATATATATATATTATATTGTGCACTTGGGAGAATCGAATGTGTTTGGAGAATCATCGATTAAAGAACCTCCCGAGCCAATCAAATCACGTAGTCATGTCAAATTTCTACCAATCCAAAGGTTTGACCCCTCCGCATTGGGCAAAACCATTTTTATACTCATCGTTGGATAGTATAGAGATTAAATAGGATCAAATGGATTCGAATGCTATTTGGTGAATAAAATGACTCTCACAGTCCAAATGTGGGTGAAATGCACAATATATATATATATATATATATATATATATATATGAGCATCGATTTGTTGAAAAAAAGGATCAATTTGTCAAAAAAGATCGAAAAGATCACGAAAACATGTCACTTTGTCGAAACAAATATCAGTTTAAGGAAAAAAGTATCATTTTATTGAAACGAATGTATCATTTGATGGAAATAAAATATCATTTTTACGAAAAACACTCGTGCAGTTGGCTACAAAAGTATCTTTGGACGAGAATTTGATTTTAAAATATATATACTAGACGTACCTTGGGGTCAATGTATTCGGCGCCGGTGGGCGGGGCAAACCGGCCGATATCGGCTTCGTAGCTGTTGCGAATGTCAATCACGACGGTATTGTCCTATTAGTCGATCATGGCATATTTGGTTATAAAACTGGCACTTTATTGGACTAAAACAAGAGGTTATGTGCTAAAAATACACTCTTTTTTTTTGCTCGAATAAAACCAATATATTTGGTCCAAACTCACACTTTATTGAACGAAAACAAGCGATTCTGTGTAAGAATACACTTTTTTCTATATCGAATAAAACCAATATATTTGGTCCAAACGCACACTTTATTGAACGAAAACAAGCGATTCTGTGTAAAATTACACGCTTTTTTATATCGAATAAAACCAATATATTTGGTCAAAACGCACACTTTATAGAGATTCTGTGAAAATACCCCCATTTTTTTGCTTGAATAAAACCAATATATTTGGTCCAAACGCACACGTTCTATTGAATAAAACCAAGTATGTAGTATTGCACATACCTCGAGCAGCTTTTGATGGTACTGCTTGGGCTCTAAATGCACGCCGCCATTGTTCACACTTGGCGCGTTGTCCACACCCAAGCCATAATTCACCAGCTCGGTGACGGCAAATACTTTGAGCTTGGGGAACGCCTGGCCTTCGGGTAAGTTGTCCGTGATCTTGAAGTCGTCCTGGTTGTTCATGTGGGCAAAGTATCCGTTGTCGCGCAGCCGCATGGCGTCGGTGAAGGCGCGGATGCCGTCGTACGGACCTGTCAACGTGCCGTTGAACCCTTCGCGAGACACCCGCAGCCGACCGGTGACACCGAGGGAGTTGAGCAGACCTTCGGCCCAATGAAGCGTGTCCTTGTGGCGCACTGGGCTCCATGCAGGCTCCACGTACGCGTAGAAGAGCAGCAGCGACATGCCCGATTTGTCCACGTCGTCGCTGGTGGACGGTGTTGCCAGCTGCTTGATCTTGCGCTCGTACTTTTCGACCTTCACTCGCAGAGACAACATGTCCTCGGCATCGTCGTTGGCTTCCGCCGTGTGCAGTTTGCGCAGAGCTTTGTCCAGCTTGCGCTCGTACTTCTCGGCCGCCATGATCAAGTCGGGAAAGCCAATCTCATGGTTCTGCGAAACGCTGCGATCCGGATAATGGATTGGTTGGTGGGTACAACCGGAACAGTGGGATTTAACGCGTTTTATACGTGGTTTATACTGCGGGGTTTCGGGGTTTCGTTTCGAAATGTGTGTAAACCTACTACTTACTTTGGGGGTTTTCACAATACAGTTATGATGGAAACATGAAGTATTACTACTAGTAATACTAGTCAGGATACAGAGAGGCGCTATACATCAGCAGCGCGGCAGTATGCTTATGTAGGCCTTACTTTGAATTCAATTTACATACTAATACTGGTATACTATAGGACGTGTACTACAATTGATGACAGATATTTAATGTCAAAACTCGTTTAATTGTCGTGGTGGCTGCAATTTCGAAATAACGCATTGTTTGGCCAACTAATCACGTTAAACGAATTTGATTCGTCCATTCCAAATCACATGGACCAATCCCGTGCTCGTGTATTAAATCCCATCATCAGATTCGTCACATCCTATTTCTTGCCGTCATGAGCACGTCGACGTTGCAGGAATCATCCCTGGTGCTGCCGCCGAAGCCCACCGCCGCCGTCAAGGAGAAGGATGTGCTGACCAACTTCTTCCTTGCCGCCACCGCCGCGTCCTTGGCGTCGGTGATCACCAACCCTCTCGAAGTCGTCAAGACCCGCATGCAGCTGCAGAACGAGCTCGTCGACTCGAGTGGACGTGCCATCACACGCGTGTATAAGAACCCATTTCAGTCCCTTGCGCTGATTGCTCGCACGGAAGGCATCCGCGGCCTGCAGAGCGGACTCAACATGACCATTATGTACCAGGTACATACAGTACATATATGGAAATCCTCCCCGAGTGGACGTGCAATCATACTGGGGGAACCTGTAGTTTATGATCGCGGGGACGCGATTCGGTCTGTACGATCCGGCAAAGCGAGCGTTGGGCGTGGAGAAGGGTCAATCCACGTACTTGGTCAAGAACTACCTCGCGGGCATGTTGAGTGGCGCCGTCTCTTCGTTTACGGGCAACCCCTTCGTACGTCATCGTCCTCCTTCTTCTTCTCCATCTAACTCGTCGCTCTTATCCAGTACCTCGTTCGCGCGCGCTTGCAAGCGTCCAACAGCGGCGCCATCACCCGCGGCCGACACGTGTACACGTCTGCGTTCCAGGGGTTCAAGTCGGTGTATCAAACGGACGGCGTCGGCGGGTTCTTCCGGGGCATCGGCGGCGCCATTCCGCGCGTGAGTTTTGGGTCGGCCACCCAGCTAAGCAGCTACGAGTTCTTCAAGGACATGCTGCTCCGCCGCCCATACCTCGGGTACTCGTTCCAGGACCAGACAGTGCTGCTGCATCTGTCGGCATCCATCCTCGCGGGTTTCTTCTGCGTCACTGCCATGAATCCGTTCGATGTGATCAGCGTCCGCCTCTATAATCAGCCATTGGACCCACTGACGGGCAAAGGACTTCTGTACACAGGTCCGCTGGATTGCGCGAGGAAGACCCTTGTCACGGAAGGCGTGAAGGGGGCATTCAAAGGGTGGACGGTGCAGTACATTCGACTGGGACCGCACACTGTCTTTACATTTCTATTTTGGGAGCAGCTCAAGCTCGCGTACGAGAAGATCACTCACAACCACGAAGAAGTATAAAACTAAGCCAATCACAGAGCCCCATATAATTGGCCAATAATCATAGACAAACCCCTGAATATATGTATCCGTACAACAAACACCAACGGTTAAAGGAGTACCACTTTATCACTTTGTATTATTGTCGATTTGCGGAGGGGCCAAACCGATCCACAATCGATCTGATTGGTTGAATTTCATTGAGAAGGTTTTGATTGGCTAATAATGTTGAGCTCATTTGAGGTAGCCAATCAAATCGATTTACATTCCAACGAGAAACCACAACACGAAATTTCACTAGATTGTCAGAGAATGAGCCCGAAGCACTTTTTATGACGAAAGTGATGTATTATTGTCAAGTTGACACAAATTTGGGGAGGGGGTGCAATCGAATCGCGCCGACCAAACCGATCCACAATCGATCTGATTGGTTGGATTTCATTTAGAAGGTTTTGATTGGCTAATAATGTTGAGCTCATCTGAAGTAGCCAATCAAATCGATTTAAATTCCAACGAGAAACCAAGTCGGCTAATTGGTTGAGCAATCGAATTTTACTGTTAACATAGTATTGATAGTTTACGTTAATATCGTTTTGATTGGCTGAAAATCCCATGAACACAGTTCCAGGAAATGGTAAAACAAAATCGATATATCAAAACCATTGGATAGAAAATGACGAATTACAGTCAGATGATTGGCTCCATGCCCAACATTTTAACCAATGCATTTGGCCCATTTTGTGCAACAAGCACAATTGGAGTGCGATGACCAGGTTGTTGATGCGTCGGACCTTTGCGACCCGCGCGGCTGCCGTCATCGACGAGGTACAATCCACACGAAGTCATCACGGAGATGAACGACATGTAGGAGCTCAAGACTGTGATCCAGCAGCTTCGAAGCATGGGCTCTGAAGGAGCGGCCGTGGTACCCTTCTTGTCGATGACGACTCACTCTGACGCACACATAGCTCGTCACCCCAGACCACGTGACCAAGCTGGCAGACACGAAGACGCCTGCGACACTGTACCAGATGGGCCAAGCCATCTTTGAAAACTCGACGGACGACAGCAACGCCAGCAGCATCACGCAGTCGGTGTTGTTGTGGCAAACGGCGGCTGCCAAAGGCCATTTGAACGCCAAGTACAGCTACGCCCAGTGCTTAAAGCAAGGCAAAGGCGAGCTCAAAGCAGACCCTGTGGCCGCCACCGCTCATTTTCGACAAGTACGTTCAATAGCCAATCTGTGACAGCGTCTCACGTATATCCACACCATGGGCGTAGCTGTATGAAGCCAAGCATGCATGGGGCACGTATGGCTACGCAGAGGCGCTCAATTTCGGCGACGGCATCAGGCCGAATAAACCCAAAGCATTTGAGCTGTATATGGCCTGCGCCAGATCAGACTTGCCGCCAGCATACATGGCAGTTGCCAACATGTACGCATCGGGCGAAGGCGTGGCCAAGGTGTGTGTATACCGATCGATCATAAGTTACCGTTCTACATACTTAACCGTAGTGTGGCTGTAGAACCCAGGTGAAGCGCTCGAGTGGTACCATAAAGCCGCCGCAAAGGGCGACGCGCACGCCAAGTCGATCCTCGGGGACTGGTACTTTAACGGCGTCCACAACGTCGTTCAAAACGTTTCGTTGGGGTTGTCATTACGCCAAGAAGCGGCGCGGGCAGGCGTTCCGAACGCGTTGTTTAACATGGGCTGTCTGTATCGCGTGGGCGACCACGTCGAAAAAAACGAAACGGTGGCGTACAAGCTGTTTCAGCAAGCTGCGATCAAAGGGTAAATATATATATGTGTGTGTGTTAACAATTGTAGACCAGAATATAGATGCTATAATTCACATTTGTAGCCACGGCCTTGCCATCTTCAACGTCGCGCTCATGCTGCGCGACGGCGTGGGGGTACCACCGAACAAAGAGGCGGCCAAAAAATGGCTCCAAACGTTAGCTCCCCACGACATCCAGGCAAAAGAGATGCTCGACGCGATGGACTAATTCACAGTGACCAAATATACTACATATTTGTTGGCATTCATGCAAAAATCAGAACATGTGAATATATATATATAGAATTCACGGAAATCTCAATTGTACCGAAAGGAATCAATATTTCGTGAAAGAGTTGGAAACAGGATTATTTACATAAATAATTGTTATTGTTTTAATATCATTACTGTTAGTGCTACAATAATAGTGTAAACAATAATAGTGTAAAGTAACGATAACGTTAGCCTATACTACAAAATACCACTTGGTTTTGTGGGAAGTTTCTACGTGACGTGCACCATATATTAATACTTCGAACACGAAATACTAGTACTACGGTACTACGCAGTATAATAGTAGTAGTCCTATAGTATCGACACTATTCGTCTCTGGTACTAATAGTACGCCACTTCGATTGAAGTAGTAGTCCAGTTCACTTCTTTCAATGTTATAATAGTGTGCTTTTCAGTCAAATTTGCCTATTTTGGGGAATTGATGAAATCTCGAACTAATAATCGACCACAGGGGTTTGATTGGCTATAAAGAATGAAGGTTACAATTTGATTCTGAAAAGCACAATATTAATACATGAACACAATATTAAAGCACGTTTACAGATATCTTAAATATATTTGTCGTCGATTACAATAACGCAGGTGTAGTGGTTTGCTTGGTGTTAGTATTCGACGGGCTCAGCAGGTGCAAGTCATCGTCGTGGAGCATTTGGCCAATCGTGTCCATGTGTTTGCGAACTTGGGCTTCAAACGTAGTAGTAGTAGTACTACTAGTAGGAGGAGTGGTACTACTAGTAGTAGTAGTACTAGCCACAGGTGGGACGACCACGGGACTGACAAAGAGGCTCATTTTCACGGGAGGCGAGACTTGAACAATGTCCGACGTGTTGGTGGACGGATCGCGCGATCGAGTGGACGGCAGCGGGCTCGCCGCGGACGAAGATGACAGTCGGTGGTTAAGGGGGCGAGATGCATTGGTTTCGGCAGACATGATGGAGCACTGGGAATGGAACGACGACCGGGATGACTGCATGCTGTCGCCGTCGTTCATGAATACGCGACGGACGGGCGGCGGCATCGAGACCTCGGACGACGTGCCATCGACGCGGGGGTTCGGCACGAACAGGATGGAACCTCGAATGTGCGGTCCTAAGTGACGTTGCTTGATCTTGAACAGGTTCAACAACGACAGTTCCATTGTCGGGGTGATCGCCAGTTGGCACAACGCGGCAAAGAACGCATTCAGCTACCCGAGGACACGATCGTGATGACATGCAGAAGGCAGACGTGTGATGATGATGTGCCTACCTGCTTCTCGCGCAGCTTGAGGCGATCTTCGTCGAGTTCAGCGACAAACGGATACCGCCGCGGGAACGACGCGCGGACGGCCTTCTTCTCCCCGGACGTAAGGTTGCTGTAGAACGCGTAGAAACGACTGAACCGCAACGCACGTTCAAAGGCTTGGCCATTGTACTGCACCACTGTGCGATACAACTAGACAAGACGCAAGTAGGTTGAGGGGGACGGGTTTGGTTGGGATGTGGTGACATACTACGACTTTGCTGTGGGTGTTGGGGTCCTCGCCTTCCTCGTGGCCGATCAGCTGGACGCGAAAGTAGCATTGCCCAACCTCGGACGTCCGGGATGAGGTTGGTGGCACCGGCGTCGGCAGCATTCTTGCTTCCTGTTTCTGTGGAGAGATGGGAAGTTGAACCGACATGCGTATAGGCTAGCCAATCACAGCGTAGTATGATGGCTGGTCCAATCAAATCATGCCAAGAAGATATCTCAGCCAATCAAACGCCGTACAGCTGGCGAGAACAACTGTGTTGAAGGTCAGTGACCGCTGTTGCGTGACCCAGGTGTTTAACTCAAAATGTGTAATCACGGGTTAAACAAACAATCAAGAGCAGGTATTTTGTGAAGGGGCGATAAAACACGAGTATTATTCTACTATTCAGTGTAGATGTGGTCACTTGACATATTGGTATAGGCGGACAACTGTACTATGTAGTATTTCGAAGTAATTACTTATTTCAACCTCAGCAGATGGTTTTTCCAGGTATGGCATTCTGTACTAACTAGTACTAGTAGTACTAATACCGCTGTCGTTAACAGTTAAAGGGAGTAGTACTATTAATAGTACTAACTAGTAGTACTCGTACTACTTAGTTAAAGTGACCTTTACTGTTAACGACAGTGGTATGTATTCGTGTGGGTGACGTCTGAAGTGTCATTAACAGCGACCTTGGCGCTGGTAGTTATAGTGTACAAGAATTCCCACGGCATTCTCAGTACAATAATGTATCTCTTGTCACAGACTATACATTTCCAGTGAATTCCTACTTTTTCTGTAGGCCTGAATACATAAATCCTACCCCGACTTTTCAGTATATAGCACTGTATAACGTTATTGGCTTATGCTAAAATGCAAATGACATGACCATACTAGTAGTTGAAACAACCCTCAACTCCCACAACCCAACTAACTGTTAGCATGAATCACATTGAATCTTCATGTGATTGGTCTGAACCAATCAGATGGGATCATTCCATCATGATTTAAATTTCGGTCAAGCATACAAACCGCAAGCTATATTTAATTTGTTTACTATTAGCTTCTTGCACCTTTAATTACCAAGTCGTCGGATCCACCAATCACAGCGCAGTATATACCCCCTTTCGCAGGTTGGAGCCCTGACAACAGCCATAGACCACGTCGACCAAAGCATCATCACTTCCACACAGCCGCACTTGCTCCCATGTTCGACAGTGTCCTCTTCCACGATCACCCACCTGTGCCTGAAGAAAGCACATGGATCGCCGCGGGGTCGGCGCTAACGCAGCTGACTTGGTTGTACCTGCTCGGGCGCATCACGTTTACTTCGGACGATCTTACCACGGCCATGGGGAACCTTCCATGGATGTTTGGTGTCGTGGGTGTGATCGCGGCTGTACTCCTCTCGTCTCCCTCGTCTTCGTTTCGGCCATCATCGTCACCATCATCGCCGTCGTTGAAGGGAAAGGCGGTACCTACTTCCACCACCGACCACCACCTCGTGCGTGCGGGAATCCAAGGCGGCCTCCTCGCCACCCTGTTCCTTCTCCGCATGTGCATGCTTCACTTCTGTGGCCTGCAGTTTGCCTCTCTCGTCGAGTCTGCAAGCTACTGCCTCGCGGAACCCCTGTCCAAAGCGTTGCGTTCGACACACGCGCCCGTTCACGGCATCATGGCCATCGCCGGCGGGTATGCCCTGGCCCTCGTGTTCCCGTGCATCATCTCGACATCATCTTCATCATCATCCACCGGTCCATCTCTGCTCTTCCACATGTCGCTCTTTGCCGCGTCCGTTGCGCTCCAGCACATGTATCGCTCGCTCCAACCGTCTCAACCTTGCCAAACCACGACCAATGTCACTATTTTGACCCACACTGTGGTGGTGTATGTCACTGCAGCGATGGTCACTGCGTTGGCGTCACACTGCCTCATTCCCTCCCCAAGCATTCACCTTCCGCCACTCGAGCAGCCGCAATCTCATGGCGTCGGCAGCATCATCAGCTTGATTGTCGTGGGTATATTGTCCATGTTGCTGCCAGCTACGACCTTCCAAGACGACGATATGGACTCGCGTCAAGCGCATTGGAATGTATCTGTGCGTTTGGCAGTGCAGTTTCCCCTGGCTTTAGTGACATCGTGGTTGCCAGGTGGGACGAATACGTGGCATTTGGTGGTGCACGCGATCGTGTCATGGACTGCGCTGTCGTCGATTGCATGGGGATGGTGGCTTTACTTGTCGACATTGCACAAGCCAGCAGCAGCACTACGACCATCAGCTGCCACGTCATGTATCCTGGTGACGTGGCACGCCCTGGCACCAGCAACCCAAAAGATCCTGCTCTTCCTCACAGGCAACATTGTGTACATGTTTGTCGAGTTTGCAGTGGGGTACATGACGAATTCCCTTGGACTCTTAAGCGATGCTGGCCACATGCTGTTTGATAATGGCGCGCTCGTGATTGGCCTTGGCGCGTCCTTGGCGGCGACGTGGCCGCGCACGGCCCGCTTTCCATACGGATTCGATCGCATTCAAGTGCTAAGTGGGTTTGTGAACTCGCTCTTGTTGCTGGTCATGGCCGTTCACTTCATGCTGGAAGCCGTCGATCGAGTGCTCGACCCGCCTACGATCACGACAGATCACCTATTGCTTACGTCTGTGGGGGGTCTCGTCATGAATGGCGTCGGGCTCGTGTGGTTTCACGACTTGGCTCATGGGCATTCCCATGGAGATGGAAGTGATGGAGGATGTATGTCGAAAGACGCCAACCTTGTAGGCGTGTACCTGCATGTGTTGGCCGACACGATGGGATCGGTGGGAGTGATCCTGTCGTCGGTGTGTATCGACTGGTTTGGATGGTTTATCATGGACCCAATCTGTTCGGGGTTCATTTCGATCGTGATTGTGCTGTCCACGCTGCCGCTGCTCCGAGATACAATGGCCCAGCTCATGCAAGGGATTCCGTCGTCGTCCGCCGCCGCCGTCGAACTCGCCCGGCAACGCGTCGCGCAACTGCCGTTTGTCCACCATGTCGACCAAGTGCATGCGTGGTCTCATGCTGGCAACCTCGTCGTGACAATGCATGTCGTGGTTCTTGAGAATGTTGGTGAAGCGGTCACTCGAATCCGCCACGTCATTGCCCAAGCCGTGCATGTGCACCAGTTGACGGTTCAAGTGACCCATGTCACGGAACCTTTGGATAGTGACCAAATTAGTGACCACCACCATCACGGGAGTAGTAGTGACCACCACCACGGCCACTCGCATAGCCACGGGGGATGTGCCCATCATTAACTTAACAAAATGGAACTGTTAGTTCCAGCTTATTAACTGTTAGAAGCAACTAACTAAGGTTCGTTCAGGAAGAAGAGCATGCATGTGATGTTAGTATGGCGTATGGCTACAGGTGGTCATCATGGGGTTCGTCGAGGGATGGGGCTGATGGTCAAGTGGAGATGCAACGGTGATATAACAAGCGTACGTTCCTACGAGCCGCAGTCCCCAAAGATGTCGACGGATTCGGCCAAAACGGCTTGCTGCAGGAGATGGCGCTGGTGGGACAGGTACACGTCCAGCTTGGTGAGCGGACCGATGAAGCAGATGAGTAGGTTGAGCACGAAGAACGTCGTGAAGAGCACGGACAGCCACCCCGACGCGAAGCTCGTGAGGATCATAAACAAGCCCAACGTGCCGACGGAGAAGACCGCGCTGAAGATCGACAGACCCAAAAGCGCAAGAGACCGGCCCAGCCGCGCAAGGTACCGCGAAAACGCACTTGGACGAGTCGAAGATTGCTGGGGTTGGGACTGCGGAGTCCGTGTGAAGAGGCTCGTGTATGGGCTTTGGTTGGAACTATTGACGGGGACAGCAGTCGCTACATGCGTTGGTCGGGGCGGTTGTTTAGGGCCTGCCGCCGCGGTGGGAGGTGCTTTAAAGAATGAAGAAGCCGACGGCTGACGAGCGGTTTGATAGCGCTGCTGCTGTTGCTGCTGATATAGTTGGTACTGGAGGTCCACGGGTGCCACGGGAGTAGCGTTCGTGGAGGGAGCTGCATTAGGGTCCAACGGCGGCACAGGTTCGGACGGCGGGATGGATTGGTACATGCCAAGAAGGATGCGGTGTGAGGATTTGGTTGAAGAAGACACTGGAGATGACTTGGACATACATTTCTTGATGGATACTAATAGTAGTACTATTAATAGTACCTTAAGCAAATATTAAATATACTATACGTATACTAGTACTACGTAGTTATTCAAATGAGACTTCACCTTCATATTATGCAGCCTAATTATTTATAATACTATTAGATCTTGGTATTTTACAGTTAATACCAAGATCTAATAGTACTCAGTGTCAAAGTATTGGTACTTTGACTGTACAGTAATCCAGAAGGGGACGTTTTCTAAACAGGATAAGGTATCAAGAATACCAATTATTAATATTATTAATACTATTAATACTATTAATAATAGTATTAAGTTACTATTACTTTCACACTTTTCAAGGCAAATTACTGTGCTACAGAACGCAGTAGTGTAAATACTGTTAACTGAAGCCATATACTATTTCGATCTTATTGCTTCTATTGGCTAAAATATGTAGTTCTTTCAGCCATACAAATTCGTCCAACCTCAGCATATTTGACCTACTAAATTTATTAGAACTGTATAGATCATTCTTGCAAACACGACTGTAAACAACTGGAAGGAATATTGGATCGCTATGAATAGCTCCATGCTGAAAATGTGAATTGCCGGCACTTCCATAACCAATAACCACCAGTTAGTTAGCTAGTTTTCGTCCGTAAGGCTTTCGTACGCCCGTTGTCGCAGGCTGTACAGCCACCCATCCAATGCGGCGATGGGTCGAATGAAGCAGATAAATAGATTGAGCACCACAAGACCCAAGCATGCCACTGGCAACAGGCCCACGGAGAGGGACAGCCCGATCATGACCGCGGCAAACATTGCAATCGAGAACACCAAGTTCACAATGTTGAGCAGAACGAGCAACAGCGCATGACCGAAGCGACTGACGTAGCGTTGCACTGCGCTGCGTCGAGGGGGCTGCATGTACACGACCGACGCGTACACTGGTTGTGCGTACGGATGCTGAGCGGTGTTGTAGGCGGCTTGTTGCTGTTGGTAGGGCTGTTGAGGAGCATACTGCGCTTGGTTTTGGTGCTGGTCCACGTATGGTTGCTGGCTGGAGGGCTTGTCCGTGGTAGGAATCGGCTGGTATATCATCGTGGTGACGTCGACGCGGCTCGTTTATGAATGGCCGGTCGACCAGAGGATCACCGTACTTGGAAAGGTGAATGTATGTAGACAATGTTGGTCTGACATGCATTTCAGCGAACGAAACAGCCAATCAACGATGAAGTATATATCGCCGCTCAGAAAAGTACTACGTAGTACACTTGAAGTATTAATATTAATAGTATCACTCAAGCCTGTTATAGTTTCAATGTTGAAAATGATACCGAGGTTATATAAATACTGGTAAATAACCTGCGAAAGTACATGCTGCTACATACTACTATAATAGTACCAGATACTAGTACTATTAATGGGTACTAGTAGTATTAATAGTAGTACTATTAATACGGATTTTAAGGGACACCAAAGTTTTATGGAAGTACAGAATATTATAGCCAATAAGATTTGAATATGTGAATAGCATTTTGTGATTGGGTAAATAAAATGGCAAATTCGAAGTAGCAAGTGTCCCTTAAAATCCGTCGCCTGTACAGTAGTACGAAGTACATTTACTATAGTAGTACTACCCTTTTGAGAGTGTATGTCGCCAGTTACAACCTGTTGGATTCGATCGGTCGCCCAAACGGCGCGGCAGGATGGAAACCTCAACAACCATGGACATTACAAAGCTGTGGCGGCAGCCAGCTCAAGCTCAGCCAGCCCCACCATCGTGCAAAGTACTTGAAATCTTATCAATCTGTATCACTCAACCATTGTAAACAGGACAAAGACAGTCAGCCCCGACCACCCGCAAAAGTCCTTCGGCCGCAATCCGGCAATCCTTGCGTCGTCGCAAAGCCCAAGCGTAAACGCGTTGGATCTGCCAAACCCACTCGGTTTACATGGTACGCGACTCGTCCGTCATACGACTTAGTATACGTAACGACGACATGCTGGATGTAGGAACCTACTCGTCAAACACGACCAGCCCGTCGCCCCCGCGCTGCTAGAACGCGTGCGCGCGCTGACCAACCAATCAACCGCCCCCACCAACGGCATGGCTAGCACGCAGCAACTGCCTCGTTCAGCCAGAGTTAAAGAGGAGGACGAAGTACTGCCGGTGACCCCCGAAAGCTCCCACGACGACAAGAAGGCAGACGATATGCTGGTGAGATACCCCCGCCGCAAAGCCACCGTGTTCGCGTCTCGCCCTGTCACGACGCCGCTGGCGTCCGAGCTAGTTGACGACTGCAACATCGCCCCTGTAGTGGACCACGACACAAGGAGGAAACTCGTGACGTGGCTGCGCCAGTTTCCAGCTGAGCAGGGCGACTTTTTATCGCCCATCAACTACTTTGAGCTCAAGTATTCGCAAGCCCGAGGTACGTGGTCTACTAACTACGACGACAACGTAGTAGTAGTCTAATACTGTATCAAACAAAGATTGATATATTTTAGGTCTCACGTCGGCATGGCGAGACCCGCAAAAGGTGCGACTGGCCGTCGCGTTTGGGAGTTTACACGGACTTGCGACCACGGAGACACCGATTCCATCCATCTTTTTGCTGCAGTTGGTCGAGTATGTCTATATCAATACTAGGATTTGATCAATATTTATATATTTATCACATATTATATATTCAAGTATCGGGTGAATGAATAGGGAATTGGGCCACGGTCTATTTGAAAACTACACTGTGGTGCGGGACCAAGTCGCGGCCCTTGTTAACCCGTGCTTGCACTACTTTGAATCAGCCCCCGCGTATTTCGAGGTACTACAATAATCTCTTTGTAATTTATATATGTATATATCATATATATATATATCAATGATCTTTACTCACAGTCACACCTTGTATTCAAACCTTTATGAACATGTAAAACTTGTCTCTCTTGTTTTAAATTCGAAGGGTTGTACTACGGATGCATATGATAGGATAAAATTAGTCAACGTGCAAAATGGTTTCATTGGTCTATGTATATATATATATATATATTCATGTCTACTGTATATTGATATGTGAAATTTTTAACGTAGCGGTATGCAGCGAAATGCGAAGCACTGGCGGAGATGCAGATTCAGCTGCATAAACTAACTGAACAAACCAACTCGATCAAGCAGTCGAGTATGTCTACCCAAGTGCTGTCAAAGCTGCGGACAAGTGTGGCGTTTGTCAAGCACAATAAAATAGCTCCAAATGTGCACCACCATCGGCTTCATAGCGTCAAAGATATCTCGTCCAACGACGAGGTTTGGAACGCATTATTGGCTCAAATATATTAGCAAAAATATTTTGGCTGAAATATATATATATGTAGGACTTGGTGAACGAGCTACAAATCAAAGACTTTATGGATTATATGGCCCCAGATGACATCGCGCACATGTTATTGCGGGTATTGGACGACAAAACCATGATCTCGACGTTGACATCTCTTGTGGACGCGATGAACGAAGGTAAAAACAACTATTACTCCTCTTTTTACTTCAATATAGTTCGTTTTCTATATATATATTTCAGGAATAATATATATATATACCGATATAATATCGTTGTTTGACTAGATCAACGCATGGAATTTTACGCGTCGTACCAACGGTGCATGTCGGCCGACGAGTTGTACTTGTTTATTGTACGCACATTGTATATATATATATTCCTCCTCCTCCATCTCGTCCTAATAATACAATAATAAAATTTATATATGAATCTTATACCAATATATATATTTATTTATAAATAGAGCCGCGAAATGTCGGAAAAGAAGTTTGTGTCCCACCAGTCAAGCAACAACGCCCGACTCTCTAGAGCGAAAAGCGTGATGCACCCCACCGACGGCTTTGTGGATAAATTACGGCGACTTTTAGCCATCGATCACATTCCCCCGCCTCCCCAAAAGGATCTCGTGTAAGGTCGTTTCCAGGGGTCGTACTTTGGTAGTACTTGATTGAACGTATCTAGTTTTACCCCCGACGAAGAGCATGTGCTCGTGACCGTGGCGGCTCTGATGGAGCACTGTCAGGACATCCGCAATGAACTGTCCAGTTGCTCGCTCCAAGACGTGATTCCCATCCATTCGTCTGTACGAAATGTGTTGGAAAAGCTGCTCCAATATGGAGATACGTCGAAGGAGTCCATGGTTAGTGGAGGCAGCCAACTACAACTCAACAGCCAACCTAATGACAATGTCGACAACAATAAGCCCAGCCCCCAAGACCCCGAGGTACTTCCTTTCGATTCCATTTCGAGGTGGCTAGCTAGTGTAGCCAAAGGTAGACAGCGCGCTAGCTAGCTAGGTCGTTAGCTCCATGGCATCTAGTGTAGCTCAATGTAGACAGCGAGTTAGCTTGCTAACTCGCCGCTGCATAGCTGCCTACTCATCTAGTATAACCCAATCTACAAGGTAGCTAGTTAGCTGCATACTCATCTAGTATCGCCCAATGTACGCGGCTAGCTAGGTAGGTAGGTACTGTAGCTCATAACTGCCTCCTTATCTCATATAGCCCACTGCACTCTCTCTCTACAATCCGTTCAATTTACACGTTGAGCAATCTAACTAGGTAGCAATCTAGGTAGCTAAATTAATTGGTAGCACTCGATGGCCTTATTTGAGTCCAACGAAAACATATATACTGACTTTCCCTTGTCCAGAACGACGACGACTTAGACGACGACGAAGAAGACGAGTTTGACGTGTCTGGTCGAGCCAAGAAGAAGTCGAGCGTTCGCCGCAAACTTCGTAAGCGCAAGGGGGCGATTTCCCCCGTCAGAGCCAAGGCGGCGCGCGTGATGCCTCTGGCGGACGTGTGCTCGGCCATCTCGTCTCTACTGTGCGAAAAGCTATGGCAGGAGGCCAACGATCGGTCCAAACTGACGCTGCGGCCGTTTATGAGGCAGTATTTTATCCGCGTTTATGGGCTCAAGTCGCTCGCGATGGCGCATATCAGTAGCTTCAAGCACTCGCTTGCGATTAACCAGCATGAGAACAGACGGGCGTCGCTCTTTTACTGGTTCCTCGGCTGCGATGAAAGCCGCAAGTTTAGCGCAGACTACGCGTTCGAGTTCTTCAAGTCGGTTGTCAAGCATGTGCTCGTGGTGCACAATAAGGCGCCAGTCAAGCCATTTCTCGTACAAACGACCCCCGATGTCATGACGTCGTTGGAAAGCATCCAGTATGCGTGGACGGATCTGCTCGGAGATGGATGTGTCCTCGATGATGTACCTGACAACAACCTCAACTCGTCCACCAAGAAACGACTGGTCACCCTCGCCAAAGCCATCGAAGTCACCAAGTTGAGCTTCTACGATGGGTAAATATATATATATTGTGTGGTGGTGGTGGGAAGCTGGGTGGAAAGAAAGGTGATGCTATGAATGAAAGGCGCGCGTTGAGACAGGCTCTTATGTATATATGTATGTATTAGTTGAGCTTCGACGGCGGATATATATATATATACTTGCCTTACATGGTGATTTTGGTTGTTTTAAAAGGAAGACAATTTTATGGATGGAAGGCGTCAGATATATAAATGTATATGTTATTTGCATTGTTGTACATTTGAGTACTATTATTCTACTAGGACATGGCGTTGCTTGTTGATAGTGTGTTATTCGAATATATATTGGACTTGGCATATTTCGATAGGATTCAACAAGTATTATATATATATATATATATATGATGGGCGATCGTAGAAACGACCGCGAAGCCACAGTGTCTTTGTTTTTGGACGACCTCAAAGACCGAGTAAACCCCATCGGGATGGAGGACTTTTTAAGTGGAATTATGGACTGCTGGCTCAAGTTATTCGAGTTTACTGTCCAATTAATCCGCGTGAAATTCAAAGAAGCCGACAAGAACGGCGACGGCACCATGGACTTCGAAGAGTTCATAGCGTTCATGCAAGCGTCCAACGTGCTCGGGTTCTCCGAGGTATACATTTATCAGTCAAATATCATTCAAATTCGTCAATTTTTCACTCAAATTCGTCAATTTTTCATTCAAAGTCGTCAATGTTTCGTTGATATTCGTCGAATTTTAGTCCAATTCGTATGACTATAATTCAAATTTCTCATTTAAAGTCGTCCATTTTTCATTCAAATTCGTCTAATTTAGTCCAATTTGGTGCTATAATTTCATAGGAAAACAACGCCCAACTCACCACGAATGGTACCAAACTTCAACGCCCCACGGCATCCATATTTCGCAAACCGGCTGGGAGTAGCAGTAGTAGTAATTCTACTAGTACTAGTACTAGTACTAGTGGGGCGACGACCAGCCCGACCAAGAAGGCGACGCTAGCCCCCGATGCCGAGGTCGGTTACCATCATCCTCTAAACATATGACTCTAAAAATCCTAAGATGTCCCAAAAATAATATTATTTTTCTAATTTTCACAACTTAGACCAAAAAGCGAGAGCTGGCGCGCACCGAAGCCCGCATGCGACGGGAAGCCATCGCGATATACGATTCGCTTACCAACGATGACAATATCATCGACGAGAACGCGTTCATAGAGTATTTGCTCACCCAAGTGCAGTGGCTGAGCAACGAGGAAGACGCGACCGTCGTGGCTGCAGTCGTTGCTCCCAGTCCCAGTGACGCCAGCCCCATTTCTCCTGTGGACCACAACCCGTCTAGTATTACTAGTCCTACCACCAACTACTACTCGCCTACTACTAGTGCAAGCGCCGACGACGTCTCCGGCGGACGTACCCAAGACATCCCATTGGGTATAGTCGACGCAACTCCACCTTGTGCTGCCACGTCAGTTGCCCTGCCAGATGACTGGCCAGTTCAAGTCGCAGAAGCTACAGCTACGACGACCTCGACCCCAATGGATATACTGCCTTTGGATGGAAATAGAGTAGTTAGTGGTAGTTCTGTGGTGGTGTAATCAAAATATTACTCTATTGGATACTCGTACTTCAGTACTGTAGCACAATTGTACTCATACTAGTACAATTGTGATGAGTTCTATTGTATTGTATTTAAAATAATATAAAAATAATATATACTAGTATAACGTTATGTATATTAATTTTGGTGGGCTATTAGTAAGTATTATTATTTGCAACGTTCACCGGTAGCTTATGACGACGTTTGAGTTTCAAATGATTGCTTCAAGTCATGAAAGGGTGTTTATTGAACTACGGTAGGTAGTTAGCAATATTTGCTCGTTATATATCGCAGATAACGACTACGTGCAGTAGTATTACTATGTTTCATTATTGACAGCTTGGCACAACACTTCGTCCTGTGGCCTAGGTGGGAAGTCGTCGTTGTCGTTGAGCTACCCTAGAGTCAGCCAAGTCGACTTGCACTGTAACGTTATCGCAACCACCACGTCAATACAACACGCTGCATTGTAGCCACCGACTTCAGAAGCCGTATATCATGGAAGCTAGCCAGAAGAGTGTAGCCGAGAGGGGGGCTAACCAGAAGAGTGTAGCGAAAGGGGGGCTAGCCAGAAGGGTGTACAGTAGCCGAACGGGAGGCTAGCCCGAAGTGCCCTCCGTCAAGGAAGAAGTCAGGTGTCGTCGAGGCAGTTCATCCACAGAGCCAACTCGATTACGCTCTACATATTGCTGCCGCCGGCTTGAAGGGCGGGACCTCTACGACTCTTACCTGGCTACCCTCCATTTGAGGTACAGCCGTCGTTTGAGCTGCCAGTGCAGCACGTTGGAAGTTCCCGAATGGCACGAGTCTGGTTGGCGGTGAACCGGCACCAGGACACCGTAACAACTGTTGCCGCGGCAGATTGGACGACAGTGGACTTTGTTGTGTAGCAATGGATGTGGGACTTGGCTGGTATTGTGTGTACTACATGTATCATATCTAACAATAAAAAAGTACTACGTAGTACTGCACAAGAATGAATATTATTACTCTGGCGACATCCCCATAAAAAATTTGCTGTAAACCCTGTCGGATATTTCCGGGGTTCTCTGTAGATGGCTTACGTCGTGATGACGAATGTAAATGCGATACAGAATCCTCAGTTTATTGTCAAAGACATCAGCTTGCTAAGTGACGATAAATTTGGCCACGACTACCGCAGCTTACAGCGCTAGCATTATTGGTAACTGCCATATAAAGTGGCTCGGACGTTAACTTTACGTGTTGGATCAAGATTTATTTATTTTCAATAATATTATTATCCTCATGGTTGATCTGGGGATTAGTGATACTGACTTGAAGGTAGTTTCTATTTATTTTAAATAGAACTACTGGTGGTATAATTGAGACTTATTGCCCAATTTGGCTCGAAGTTTTAGACAAACTGTCAACCACGTTTTTCTGCCAATCACACAACGTCCAGCGCATACATTCACTCCAAAAATGACTGTCAAAGGGGCGGCAACTTCACACGAAAATTGACTAGCTGATGTACAGCAACCAGCCATCGGCCCCGCCGTTGCATTACCAGAGTGAGAGTTCCCGGATCAACCAACCAGGAGCTCCATCTCTCTCGTATGCTGCCTACGGTGCACCTCCAGCTCCGTCGTACTCGCAGCAGCCGTCCTCGTATGCGTGGCACCAGCCGCCGCCGCCACCCCGGGCTTCCAAATCCGACGACAACTTGATCTGGTACGCCATCACGAGTCCGCTGCAGCCGCACACGTACTTGCTGATCCTCTACTTTGCGTTCAACCTTGTGTTTGCCACGATCGCGTTCGTGTCCGTGATCGTTCTAAGCTCCGTCGGCGTCGGCCTTGTCCCAGTGTGTTGCCTTGGTCTCGTGGTGCTCCAAGGACTGCTGTATGTCGTGCACTTGTTAGCGCACATCGACGCCCGTCTATACAACTGCACCGCGCAAGCCCACGAGCGTATCGTCGTGAGCTTCGACGTGCCGCGCGAAGGTCTGTACCACCTCAGCGGCCATCGCATCTCGCCCGATCTGTCCAACTTCTCTAAGGAAAGCCTCTGCGCCGTCTTCTACTTCCTCTTTATCAAGTTTCCCCTCTCGCTCCTCTCGGCTATCTTGGCGTCGATTCCGCTCACGATTGCCGTGAGCCTGCTCTCGTACCCGCTATACATGGACGACCTCTTAGGCCACCGCGGTATCTTTGCGCACATTCCCCCACCCAACGAGATCATCCTTCTTAACCAACCCATCGATCAGTGGCGGCCGTCGCAAGTCGTCGTGGCCGGAGCTGTGACACTGTACGTTGCCATCGGGCTCCTCCACGCGCTGGCCTCGCTGGCCCGATGGGCAACCAAGTTCTTTACCTGTGAGTTCTTTGCTACGTCAGGTGTCGTGCGCTTGTATTCGACTTTGCCATCTTATGTCGCTGCCCCCACCCAAAGTGTTTCGAGCCAGTGGCCAAATTAACTGATGGATGTGTTGAAATAGACAGGGGAAAAATACAACAACGCTAATGGATCCTTTGGAAATAGTATCGACTTGTTAATTGATGGTTGGAGGGACAGCTAAACAAGCTACTGTACAGGTTATGTAAGCTCTACTTATTACTTCGAGGTATACAGTATGGCCTTGTCCAAGTTTTGCATACAACTCACAAACAATTAAGGTACAGGTGGCCTACTTACATAGTTACAGTCACTTCTTGAAAGGGACCTCGTTTTAGGAATGCAGCTTACTCACCACCGAGGGCCAGGATTTGAATTCTGACAGTTGCTGCGTAACTTAACGTTATACAGTAGCTGAAAGGTTGGGGTATGCATGCTACATTGCGACAACATACAGTTTCGGGGTTTCGGGGTTACGGATTACGTAGTACTAGTATTTAATCGGCTTTGAATAGAGTCCATCTTGGGGTTCATTACTCTTTACTACTATTACTCTGATTCCATTCCACAGAGATCAGGTGCAAAATACGTCGGGCAATTTATAATGCATATTTTAAGCTTAAAATAGGTAGGCATGTTTGCTTATGTTTTGGCAATTTCATTTGCTAGAGTTTTGATTGGCTGATTGTGAATTCAAGCAATTCCATTATGGCGAATTTGGGTTTGAACGCCGAGGAGGGTACATACAGAAAATCAGCGAGAACTTCCTTCACATGCACATCGTCCCTGGAAGTATCCGGTTACAAATACACTACTGTATTAGTACATGTATCGGGTACAGTATCTTGAACATGCATTCCGACGAGAATGTTTGTTTCTGAGTTGCCGAAAGTGTGTGTGGTGACACGCATTCTGGATGGGTGTACTACCAGGTTTTGCTATGCCATTGTCAAATTTTGCACTCTGGTCAACCCCATGTCAAGCAACCAACCATCTGCACCGCCGCCGTCGTCGTCTCAGCCGCCGCGCCACGTACCAATGTACAACTACCCGACGGAGAAGACGCCAGTAGCTGTGCAAGTTGTGCCTCCCAGTTATGCGCAGCAGCAACAACAGCAACAGCCCCAACCACAGCCGTATTACAGCTACCAACACCCGAGGAGTGACGGGGCCCCTTCGACTTGTACCATCACGCACCATCACGCCCCAAAGACCAACGGGTTCTGGTATGCCCTCACGAGTCCGCTGCGTCCATTGACGTATCAGCTGATTCTGTTTCACTTGGTGAACTTTGTGTTTGCCGAGATCGCATTCGTGGTGGTCGTGGTGGTGGGCAGCATTGGCATCGCGACGATTCCTCTATTTTGCCTTGGACTGGTCGTGCTCCAAGTGCTGCTGTACGCCGTGCATTTCTTTGCCAACGTCGACGCCCACCTATACAACTGTATCGCCCCCATCCATGAGCAACTCGTCGTTCAATTCCAAGTCCCCCGTCGAGGGCTGTACCAGGTCAGCGGTTACCGCATCTCCCCCGACCTTTCTCGCTTCTCCAAGGAAGCGTTCGCCGCGATCTTTTACTTTGTCTTTGTCAAGTTTCCACTGGCCGTGGTCTTTAGCTCGTCCGTGCTGGCTCTCTTGGCGTGTTCGGTGGCTCTAACGTTGTACCCGTCCGTATTGGAACCTATCATTCGCCGTCACAATAACCACGACGAGAACCGTTCGATTCGCATTTTTCGACTACATGTCAACATGGAAGACTTCGAGCCGACTCAAATCGTGCTGGTGGGAGTGGCGCTGCTGTACGTTACTATCGGCTTGTTGCACTTGTTTGGCAGAGTGCACCGCGCCACGACCAAGTTCTTTACGTGCGAGTTCTTTGCTACATCGGGCTTTGTCATCCAGGGATCGCATACGCAGCAGTCCCAGTTCCCTGCTTCGGCGCCGCAGTACTCCGCAGTTCCACTTGGCCCCCAACCGACCACCATGTACGCCCCCCAAGTGTATGGCGACTACTACGCCCCCCAAGCCCCCCCTCTATACGACCAACGCCGCCGCAATGCCTTTGAACGCTTTGCCTCTAAATTTGGCTCGGCCATCGTGCTGGTACTCTTGTCAGTACTGAGCTTGGTGTTTTCCGTGGGAATGTTTGTGGTCGTGGTGGTGGGACTGGCCTTGACGGTGGGCTTGCTGCCGGCGGCGTGTATCGGCTTGTTCGTGCTGCAGGTGCTCATCTGGGTCGTTAAGCCCTTGGCCAACGCGGATAAGTGGTTGCATGACCAGCGTCAACGAGTGTACATCGACCTCCTTCGCGATGATTAAGCCCTTAAGATTAAGCCCTTAACAACATGAAAACCTTAACGTTATCGTTCCGACAGCAGTGAATACGTATAGCTTTCGTTAGCTAATCGGTGGTGCTAGTTGTCAGAGCATTCTAAGAGGTCATATCAATGGGAACATGATGACGTGATATACGATTGCATATACTATGCTCATGTACTACTATTAATAGTACTATTATTAGTACACCTTTTTTCTATTGACTTGGGACATTTTTCAACGTTCTTGGCTTGGCGCTCATTCGAAAGGGCGATGTGTCCATTCATTTGGCCTTGTGGCCAATAGAATTGACACTTAGTGCCGCAGCACCCTTTGAAATGTACCATGCTACCAATGGAAAAGGCTCCACTACCCAACAATGTGCCAAGTAGCATTTCAAATCTGCCGTGCTTGAAGTGGAGTTGGATCAAATATTCTAGAAGGTTGCACTTGGGCGATCTTCGCGCCCATTTTTTTCACTTTTCAAAATCGCATTCCGTGCAACAATGGAGAACGCTGCACCACAGACACCAGTACGACGTCGTCGCTCACGATATACAAACCATGTTCATAGCCACGCAAGAAATACAAGCGTATTCCCTCGTCTGGAGTACTTCTACGGTCGTGCGGACCGAATGGAAGACATGGAAGTAGGCATGTAGCTGTTTGCTGCAAGGTTCGATGATTTTATCTGCCTTTTTCATGCCGTCGCGTATTTGATAATATAATATTATATTCGATCCAAAGGGATTGAAGTCGTCCACGCCCTGACCAACTTTTCGGCATCCGAGATCAACACGTTGTGGACCAATATCAAGACGTTCGTGACGAAGAACTGGAACGTCGGGAGTGGACGCAAGTGTCCGGTGACCGGGAAGGACATGCTGTTTATGACTCTGGTGACTCTCAAGCACGCGGGTACATGGGACATTCTCTCCGCCAGCTTCGACGAGAGTGCCGCCACGTTCAGCAGCCGCATCCACAACTTCGTTCGCGTCCTTCACCCGTACTTGGTCCGCAAGTACATCGATGAGCAAGGCATGAAGTGGACGATGCAGCAACTTGCTGTCGCTGGCCTCCAGTTCACAACCCACAAGTCGGCGCTGTATGCAGTTGATGTGACGTTCCAGCAGACCACTGTCCCGGCGGTGGAATTCGGCGAAAAGAAGACGTACTTCTCCAAGAAGCACGGGCTCTATGGGCACAAGGTTGAGGTGTCTGTTGCACCCAATGGCTTGGCGATCAATATCACGGATTGCGCTGTGGGCAGTACATCGGACATCGAAATGTTCAAGGCTAACCTGGGCTTTCACTCGGCGCAACTGGAGAAGCAACCCAACGATACCAATATCAGCGACACCGAGACGCTCCGCGACAAGTTTCCGAACCAGTGGGAAGTCCTTGCGGTCAAGGGATATCAAGGCATCCAAGAGTACGTCCGTGGTTTCACGCCAGTCAAGCGTCCCCCGCACGGTCAACTGACGATGGAGCAGGAGCGGGCGAATGCAAAGCTGTCGTCGGACCGCGTGATTGTGGAGAACTTCTTTGGACGGCTCAAGACGCTGTGAGGTCTGGTGTCGGACAAGTACACATGGAAGCGGGATGAGTACAAGATGTACTTGCAGACTTGCGTGGCCCTCACGAACATCCACGTTCGGTTCAATCCATTGCGGAACGTGGACGGTGAGGGCTACAATCAGTACAAGAACCGGCTGCTCTCCATTGGAAGCAAGATGAAGTCCAAGAACGCTTCGTCCAAGGCGAAGTATCGTGAGTAGGGCCCGGATTCAGGCTGTGTTGCGTCATGCAAGCACTGGCTACACCAGTGACGACTACGACGTTGGTTACGAAGAGGGAGACGATATCTTTGATTAACTTCAACTCAGCATGCATTTTTCATCAAATAATTGTTTGTGTATAAAAAATTGATTTTGGGAAAAACTTTGGCACACCCCGGGACTCGAACCCGGGGCCCCCATCCACCACCGCCTAATCGTCAAACCGATATTCTACGCACCAAAGGCTTGGCTTCTACCTTCGTCCATCGATATGGTCATTTGTACCTCCACAACTTAATTGTATTAATCCAATGGAGTTTGTTCTTTAGAAGGATACTGACTACCTTCACGATTTACTCGATCCTTTCAAGAAGTGCAGGAGGACAACAAGAGAGTGAGTCACATGTAAAGATAATGCGTACGTACTGCATGTGATCAATCTCTCGAGTTTGACCCATTCATTGGTCAAGAGGTCTAATGGGAACATGATAACGTGATATACGATTGCATGTACTATGCTCATGTACTACTAGTACTATTATTAGTACTAGTATCAATACGTAGTACTTCGAAGTACGTTCTATTAATAGTACTGGTACTACTATTAATAGTATAGTTTGGGGTATATCCTCACAGCATATACATATGTACGCCATGTCCATATGACTGTGCAGTCAATACTACGGAAGTCTCCACCCAACCAGAGGCAATACATCAGGGGATGACTGTATCCTTGGTGTGCAATATCCTGTCATCTCCGTTTCCCAAATATAGTTTTCCTTATCCCTGTTCTCGCACTACTTATAGTTCATTGAGGACGGATCGGGCATGGTGGGGTTCGACGGGGTGGTTGGTTCTATGTAGCATCGACACTCTTAACGGTTCACTTGTGTAAAAGCCAGCGTGGTGCTAAGCGCGTCCTCATCGGGGACTGTTCGGGCTTGTCAGGGCCTAATATTGCGGAAGTACTGTTTGTTTGTTTGTTTGTGTGTTGGTGTAGTATAGTTTACACAGACAAAACTATGTAAGAGGAGTGACGAGTCTAATCCTGGGTGGTGTTGAAGGTCAAGGTCCAGGTAGTCGTAAAAGGTAGCTGTGTCGCTCGGGGGGAGGGGGCGTCGGGTTGCGTGGGTACTGTAGTCGGGGCAGTCATCCGGACCAGTTTGGAAAGGAAGTAGGCGGCCTGGTTGAATTCGCGCGGGCGGTGGGTAAACACGCAGTGGAGTTATGCAGCAAGGGCTCGTGCCTGAATGTATGGGTCGGCAAGCGCGGGGTGCAGGACACGATGTACACCACACCTGTGGTTCATTAGGAGGATGCTTTCCCCATAGACTTGGACATGAGTGAGGCGCATTGCAGCTGCCAGTGTGAGGGCTCGTACGAGGCCGTCGTATTTCGTGATGTTGTTGGTCGTGGCGGTGGAGAGATAATGGGCATCATTTTCGCTGAGGAGTGGTGCGTGGAGGGGGATCCGGTGTAATATGGCGGAAGTACTGTCCGGTGGTAGTTGGAGCTGCTTCAGTCGTGTCTGGGGCTAACGTTTTGTAGAAGTGAAGGTCGGTCCTTCAATCATTGAGGGACGACTAGGACTTGGTTGATGTTGTGGTACAGGTGTAGTTGGCCCAAGGAATCGACGCCAGCACCAACTTGAGGGTTGGGGTTCAGTCTGTCTGTTGTGTCTCGACCCAAGTGTTCTGTAGCGCGCAGAGCAATTGGGTCCCGCGTTAGTTTGACCCATTGCAAACACACACACTCTGTGTGTGTGGCGTGTCAAAGGTTCTGATACCTTAGTGGAGGTACTGAGTACTCTAGTGAATGGTAGTCAGTAGGTGCCTCGTGGCGAGTTTAACCTCACTAATGTTAGTGTATATATTTGCAGCATTGACGAAGGACCCGAAAGCCAAGAAGAAGCGGGAGACAAAACAAAGATATCTTTAGTTCATTGTTGAGCTATTCACTGGAGATGGTACGAGAACATTCCTCCGACGAGGAAACGCCGACGAACACCGAATAACGATTGCGGTCGCGTGACCGAATCGATGAGCCGCGAGGACGCGCCGCTCGGCGCACCGTTGAGAACCCGTTCAGATCTCCCCGACGACGACAGCCACCTGCTGTCGACGAGTGGCAACCGCCACGTGGTGGGTTTTACACCCCTGCCACAACCCGAGGAACACCAGCTGTCGCAGCGTTTGTCTCAGCTGCTGATCCACCAACGACTGAAGCAGATGGCGCTTCAGTGCCGTTGCCAGCCGATAACGACCCGTCAGACGTCCGTGACGATACGGACATGGGTAGCGATGGCGGTTACGGCCGTACGGCGCCGCAAGTTTGGAACGCGCCGGCGCTCCCGCAGCCGCCGACATTTTGGGGCTCGACCAAGGCCGAAAGACGCGCTTTTATGCGCGAGTAATAGAAGTATCCGGGGGGTGAACGTTCGGGGTGACCAAGTTTCTGCCTGACAACAGATGTCTTAACAATGATAATCCAAAACTCAATAGACCTGACGACAGACGTCAGCTTACTATTCGTCGGTCAATGAACCTCACCTTAGTACTAACGTTGGCGCGTCCTTGCACAAAATCGATGGAACGGCGACCACATCGTGTGCCAATGCGGTGCCCCTGAGCACACATCTAAGTGCAGGACCTACGTGCAGCAAAGAAAGCGCGCGGCAGCAAGAGCACAGACCTCGGTACGCTGTCGCTACCGTCTCCAGACAATACTAGTTTGATCTGTATGTCGGTTTCAGCCACACATACGCTGGAACGCGAGCTCCAACATCGCATCGTCCAGGGGGGGGGCAGTCGACGCAAAGGGTCAAGTAGACCACGCGATATCAAGTGATCAGCCCGGTGGGGGTTACAATTCTATTGAAGGAAGCCGAACCATTTCGATGAACGATGAGGTATTTCTTTCTGTATATTTTATCTTTATCCTATATACATTTATATATATTATATTTATCCGCAGGTGACAGTCTTCTTTCGGGTCAGGTCGTGGCGAGTGGACCCACCATAGGTAAACCAATTCGTAGCTTGGTATTTTGTCACCCGCTTCTTCTTAGGTTTCGACCACAGGCAGCAAATATACACACTGACATTAGTGATTAAACTCGCCACGAGGCGCCTACTGACTACCATTCACTAAAGTACTCAGTACCTCCACTAAGGTATCGGAACCTCTGACACGCCACACACACAGAGTGTGTGTGTTTGCAATTGGTCAAACTAACGCGCGACCCAAGTGCTCTGCACGCTGCAGAACACTTCCCCTCCTAAGGAAAGTCCAGTGGCGGCCAC